CATAGCTATTCTTGGTAGTAGTATATATAAGGCAGAATGCTAGATAGCGTGAAGTATAAAAACCAGAGGTAAACAGATTAGGGTGGTGGATCTTGTCACTCGGCCCCAAAGGCAGAGGTCTGAATTCACGTGCTCAGTTAAGGTCCCTTTTAGCTCTAGGTGGTGATTCTGTACTTTCAAGTTGGCACTTGGAAGCCAACAACCATACACCCTCTCCCCACTGCAGCTCTTCAGGTCAGCCAGTTACTCGGTTTAAAGTTACCAAAGCCTTGGAGCACCTGGGTGGCTCAGTGGGTTAAAGCCTCTGCCTTCAGCTCAGGTCATGATCCCAGGGTCCTGGGTTAGGCCCCATATTGGGCTCTCTGCTCAGCGGGGAGCCTGCTTCCTCCTCTCTCTCTGCCTGCCTCTTTGCCTACTTGTGATCTCTGTCTGTCAAATAAATAAATAAAATCTTTAAAATCTTTACCAAAGCCTAGATGGTAGGGATGGACACCTTAAAAAAAAAAAAGTAGCACAGGTAAGGAATGGTCTTGGTTCTTAAAGTCAGGACTTGCTGTTGCCAGTTGTGCTTTGATCAGAAGGAAACCTCTAATTCAGCCTGAAGCGGTGATCATTAATCATTCAAAGGTGTGGTATGATTCTGACTACAAGCTGGACTAGAGGCTCCGTGCAGGTTTGGGAGAAGTTACACTCTTGTGGTTTGACTAACCTTTTTTATGAGTGTGTTACTAAAGAAACGTGAGCTGTTGGCTTTTCAATTACTGTAGCTTACCCCTTCTGGGTTTCATACACATTGAGTCATCGTGTCTACAGGTGACTGATAATCATCTGCACTACTCAAGTTACCGTAACTCGGAGATGAGGGGATCTGATGATTGCAGGTTGCATGCACGTGAAGATCTGAGGCTCTCCTGTCTTCACAATGAACAATGGTCTGCCTTAACCACAGAACTCAGTCACATATTTCCACTCATCCAGGGGTGTATTTTCCTCTTACTGTTTTGCCTCTTACAACTTGAGCACTCAGCTGTCTTCTGACATGTGCTGCAGGTGGGAGAGACTGTGAAACTGTAAGTCTAGTTCAGTAAAGCAAACTCTTGGGAGAAAGGATAAAAGCAGAGTTTGTGATGTGCCTGCCCCACCCCGGAAACTTTCTGGAACCTCTCCGTTAGATGAAAAGATAAAAAGATTCTCAGGGGACCCTGGTATTTGAGGAGCAGAGTAGAGCCAGCCACACTGGGAAATCATCAATGACCTCGAAAAGGCCAAGAAACCAAAGTTCATTATTTCTGTGTCACTTACAGGGGAATGAATATTTGTGACCTTAGCTGGCTTTCATGTTCTCAGCCTCACTCTTTCAAACACCTTTGATCAAAGATATATCCAGTCTGGAAGTTGAAAATAGGAACCACTGATGACCTTGGAAAAGGTCTACTTTCCTGTTGCTTTTCATTGAGTTGCTAAGGCAGGGTGTTTTTCTTTGCAGATTTTTTCTCTCAGGTATTTCTCTAGAAACTGTCAGGTTGGCCTTAAGGTACTGTGGACACAGGACAAATCCATCTTATTCGATTAGATCTTTTAGCTGGTCTTTCTGGCTCCAGTTCCTCATTGTTCTTACACTTGGCTCTTCCAGTAATATTCTGAAAATAACATTTTGATGCAAGCCTACCTTGCTTAAGGGCATGAAGCGCTTTGCTCTTTGTTCAAATCTAAATCATATGGTTGGTCATTCAGAATGCCCATCTTTTGGTTCTACCACGTGTTAACTTTTTTCAATATCTCCCTAAATCTGGGATGCAAAGTGCCAGGAAGCCCACAGGGCAAGAAAATTATTTTGTTTTTAAGTTCTCTCTCAATCTCCCTGATTATACCAAGGAAAAAGATTTAGACTTAATTTGATGTTAGTCTTCTTTCAAACTGATCTCACAATTGGTAATCTCTGTTTTTAACAGAGAGGGGTTCTTTGTGTCCAGGTATTCACAATATATAATCAAAACTTTAATAAATCTCACTGTTTCCTTGTCTTTCTTTTTTCTTTTTTTTTCTTTAAGATTTTATTTAGGGGCACCTGGGTGACTCAGTGGGTTAAAGCCTCTGCCTTCAGCTCGGGTCGTGGTCTCAGGGTCCTGGGATGAAGCCCCGCATCGGGCTCTCTGCTCAGTGGGGAGCCTGCTTCCCCTTTTCTCTCTACCTGCCTCTCTGCTTACTTGTGATCTCTGTCTGTCAAAATAAATAAATAAAATGTAAAAAAAAAAAAAAGATTTTATTTATTTTGGGCTCCTGGGTGGCTCAGTTGGTTAAGCCTCTGCCTTCAGCTCAGGTCATGATCTGAGAGTCCAGAGATCAAGTCCTGCATCAGGGTCCCTGCCCAGCGGGAAGTCTGTTTCTCCCTCTGCCCTTAACCCCTGTTTGTGAGCTCACACAGGCACCCTCTCAAAAATAAGTTTTAGGGACGCCTGGGTGGCTCAGTTGGTTGGACCGACTGCCTTCGGCTCGGGTGGTGATCCTGGAGTCCCGGGATCGAGTCCCACATTGGGCTCCCAGCTCCACGGGGAGTATGCTTCTTTCTGACCTTCTCCTCGCTCATGCTCTCTCTCACTGTCTCTCTCTCAAATAAATAAAATCTTTTAAAAAATAAATAAATAAATTGTGCATTGAAGAACTTTTTTTAAAAATAAATAAATAAATAAATTTTAAAATGTTTTTTTAAAAAAAAGTAAATTCATTTTAGCCAGAAAGAAAGGAAGGAAGGGAGGGAGGAAGGAAGAGAGAGAGGCAGAAAGAGAGGAAGAAAGGAAGGAAGGAAGAAGAAAAAAGAAAGAGAAAGAAGGAAAGAAAGAAAAAAAATGTGAGCTCACTGCAACAAAACAAAACACTGTCACATTTACCAGGTGCTTTCTATGTATCAGGCATTGTTCCCTGCCCTTCTCAGTGACCGTGGGAGGTAGATACAGTTATTATCCCATTACACATGAGGACACGGAGCCACAGACATGTCAAATAACTAGCCCAAGGTCATCCAACGAGTAACTGATGAGCCGGTGTCAGATCCAGTCCACGTGATCCAAGAACCCAGGCATTCAACCACCACATTACCCTGAGGTGTCAGTATTGCAGAATGTGAAGGAATAAGTGAAGTTTGAAAATTCTGTATTTCATACTTCCAGATACAGCTATAGCCAGACTCTCTTACTCTTCCCTGGTCATGCTCCTCCCTCAATTTGGATGTCTTGTCGACCTCTCTGAAGATCTAAGTTGTACTAGTACATAAAGACTCTTCTCAAAATCTGGGTTTTCTAAGAAATGCTTTCCCTGTCCCAGGTACTCCTGAATTTTTTGCACTTCCTTAACACTTAAATACGCAATTTACACCAACCTGCTGTAATCTTGCCTTATAATTCTTTTTACAGAAGACAGGTTACTCCCCTGCTTAAGTGCCTCAAACATGGCATTTAGAATAAAATCAGGGTCTCCTGGGTGGCTCAGTTGGTTGAGGGTCCAGCTCTTGATATCGGCTCAGGTCATGATCTCAGGGTCATGAGATTGAGCCCCTTGTCAGGCTCTGCCCTCAGTGTGGAGTCTGCTTGAGATTCTCTCTCTTCCTCTGCCCCTCTCCCCGCTTGCACACACGAGTGCTCTCCTCCCCACCTCTCAAAATAAATAAATAAAGTCTTTTAAAAAAATGAATAAAATCAAAGGCCCCCACAGAGCAGGACAGCTCTTTCACAACTTCTAACATTTATTTTTTTCCTATTCCACGGATACAGGTCTTGTTTCTCTCCCACTAAGTTGGAGATTCTTCAAGAACAGGAACTGGTTTTTCCAATTATTTTGTTTTCTTGTGTTCTTTCATTATTGGACCCTTTACTGTGTGGCAGTGACAGGTCTGGGAACCACAACATGCCTAGGGAGTGTTGCAGAAGAGAGGATATGGTTCAGCAAATCTCTCCAGAATCTAGTGTCTGCAGAATGGAAAAGCATCAGCGATACGGTAGCCTCACTTTCAGTACCTGACACATCCTCCCTGCTTTCTCTGCCTTCTACCAGCCACTCACCACCGAGCACATCTGCCATCACGGCATACCCTGCTCCTGCCTTCCCTGTGGCCAGAGAGCCTCTGTTTTCTAACACACAACACCCACACGCCCCAAAGGTGGCTAAACTCTGTTTTCAGAATTTCTCAGCAGTTTGACATGAGCAGTAGGAGAGGGTGACCACAAATAAATTTTTCAGTTAAATGTGAGATGGGCCCTAATGATCACATGTGTATCAATGATACTGTTTCTTCAAGCAAAAGAATAATATACTTTATGAAAGGGACAAAGACCATGATCTTCCAAGAAAACTTTTCTAAAACTTTCTACATTTGAAGCTCTTTTACTTAAATCTCAGTCTGGTGACGATGTGTTTGGGGAGTGATAAGTTGGAGGTTTGGGGGCTATTTTTTCTGCCTCTGTAGCTATTTAAAAAGCTGCAGAGACCAGTTGCTGAGTGTCTCCACTTTTTGCAGCACTTCCGTCCCCCGAGCTCCCTTGTATTACAAGCAGAAAATATCAAGCACAATAATAGTTTGGGAATTGACTGGGTGCTGAGAGGCCATGGACAGTCGGAGTGCACAGGTGGCCACGCTCCTGCACAGGGGCAGCTCCCTGGCTCCCTGGCACCCTGCTCTGTTGTCTTCTTGTTTCTTTTTCTCTGCTTTTCTCCAGCACTCCCCTCTGATGTGAGCGGTAGAAACAGCTCATGTCGTAGCTTCAGCTTAACAACATCTCTGACTCCCCCTTTTGCCTACTGGCTTAGTTCATTTTGACTATCCAAATGTGTGCTGTCAGCCACTGTCCCTTGAGATTGTCCCCAGCTCTGAATGGAAGCATCCTGCCTGGGCTGGGTGTACTTAAGCAAGCCGCAGTTCTTTCCTCCCTTTTCAAGGACTCTGGAAGATTATTTAACAAACTCTGCCTTTGTGTTCTTCCTCTTGTAATTCTTTCTTTCACTTCTAGGTGAGAAGCGCCACTGCTTTGACGTCAACTATAATCCTAGCTATATGTACGAGAAAGAGAGTGAGATAATCCAGACCCGGATGATGGACCAAGCCATCAATAATGCCATCAGCTACCTTGGTGCCGAAGCCCTTCGCCCCTTGGTCCAGACCCCACCTGCTCCCACCTCAGAGATGGTTCCAGTTATTAGCAGTATGTATCCCATAGCCCTCACCCGTGCCGAAATGCCAAATGGTGCCCCCCAAGACCTAGAAAAGAAGAATATCCACCTGCCAGAGAAGAGCTTGCCCTCTGAAAGAGGCCTCTCCCCCAACAATAGTGGCCATGACTCCACGGACACGGACAGCAACCACGAAGAACGCCAGAATCACATCTACCAGCAAAATCACATGGTTCCCCCTAGGGCCCGCAATGGGATACCACTGCTGAAGGAGGTCCCCCGCTCTTATGAACTCCTCAAGCCTCCACCCATCTGTCCGAGAGACTCCATCAAAGTGATCAGCAAAGAAGGGGAGGTGATGGATGTGTATCGGTGTGACCACTGTCGAGTCCTCTTCCTGGATTACGTGATGTTCACTATTCACATGGGTTGCCACGGCTTTCGTGACCCTTTTGAGTGTAACATGTGCGGATATCGAAGCCATGATCGGTATGAGTTCTCATCTCACATAGCCAGAGGAGAGCACAGAGCCATGCTAAAATGAACATCTGGTCCCAGAGATGATTTATGCCTGAGCATTCGACATCATTTGTAAAAACCGACACCCCGCCTAACAAGTTATTCTCCAAACAAACTCAGTTCCAAGCCCCTTTCCATACCACTTTTAGTGTCCAAAGGGTCAAGTTCACATGGACAACAGAGAAATGCTGTCTTCATTCAGAAATTGTTTGCAGATATATCATGTTATCATTCTTGTGAGACCTTTGTTTTCTCATCGGGGACTTGAGTTTTTATGACATTTAAAAGCCAATGAAGTATTTGGTCATTACCTTTTGCAGCAATAGAACAAGCAGTCCTTGGAGTTTGTTGCCAGTCAAAAGAGTCCCCCAGCTGTGCTGCATGAGACGTTCTTTCTGAGATACAATGTCATACGTGGAAAAGTCATTCACCCAGGTCCACAAGAAGAGCTCACCAGCTAACCTCGGTGGGAAGACATGCCCTTCTGCACTTAACAGAGGCTGAAAGTCTAGGATATAATCTCCTCGTCCCTAATTAGAGTCTAATAGTAAGGAAAAGAACAGCGATAAAATAAGTATCTGTTACCAGTTACTGAAGACCCCAATCTCCAAGCAGCAGACCCATTTCTTATCACACAAGGAAAAAAAAATCAAGTTATTCGATGATACTTCTGCTTCTACCCTCCCATACCAATTAAAAAGCTGCTTTGGGTTAAACCAGTCCTGTATAAGAGAAATTCTATACCAGAAGAACTAATGGTTTTAAACATAGACTATCATTGAAACTTCACGAAGTTGTCTGTTAAGGCATCCATTTCCCGTGGTCGAGATTGGCAGAACTGGACTCTGAGGGGGAAATAGTTTAGCAGCACCCCAGGAGGAGGGGGGCAGCTATGCGAACGTTCTTGGTCTCCTTCATGGAGCATTAGTGTACAGACTTAAGGCAAACTTGCCGATGATTTTTTTTTTTTTTTGACAGAAAACAGACAATCCAAAAAGCATGACTTAGTCTCCCCTTCCCCACAGGAGAGGAATCAGGGACAGATATCATGAGTGTTGTTTGGTTCAGTGTTAAGCTTCCTGAAGAAGCGAAGAAAGGTGTACTTCTGCTGACAGGTTCTCCTTCATCAAGGCGGATAGGGTTTTCTCCCTGTTTTAAGCTGCTGTATGCCAGGAAGATTCCTGAAAGTCTGCTCTTGGTTCTGCAGATCTATTGGCCAGCTCTGTCATTAATTATGAGAGATATGCTATCAAGGAAAAAGTGCAGGGATAATTGTGAAATTAGTACTGCAGTAGAGGTCCCAAAATCTGTTTGCAAATTCCATATTGGCTGCTAATTAGCTATATGACTTTGGGCAAATCACTAAACTCTTAAAACTAAGTTTCTTCAACAATAAAGAATTGGGCTTAGACGCTCTCTAAGGTCCCTTCCAGCTTTAACTTTATGTGATTATGCTGTAACCCCAGTTATCTTTTAAGCCTTTTCATGCATGGGTATTAAGCAGGAGAATATGTATATGAATACCTGTTTCACATTTCTTTGGTGTGAAAATGGTAGTGTTAAATTTTTCCTTTAACTACTGAGTTGTGAATGTGAAGAGGATGGTGGGGAGGAACAAAAAACAGGAAGGTATTTTGATCTTGCCCAAAGTGTACACACAAAGTGGCACCTGCCGCTGCTTTGCCAAAGCCTTTTTTTTTTTTTTCTTTTTTAAGAACTGGTGTTAGAATAAATTCTGCTTCCAGGGACAACTTCATGGAATCTATTTACAAATTGAGAGTAGTTTTGTGCACACTTCTACCAGAGTCAAGAATCCCCAATTCCTGTTAGATTTGCATTTTACGTATCTGCCTTGGTATTTCAAAAGGGCTTAGGCATTAGACTCAAACTCAACTAACTGATGTGCTGCCAGTAACTAAAATGTTCCCCCTCAGACTGCACAAATGGCTTAGCCTTCTTTGTAGCATGGTGTCTGTCTCAGGAAAACAGATTTTGTGAAATTCCATGGTAACAGTCCCAACATGTTTGAGATTTCGGCTAAAAGACTGGATGCATTTCAGTTCATAGTCCTCAGCATTTCACTGTATTTCCGTAATCCTAGACTCTAAGCTACGCCAGGTTACTGACACGCGTTGTGGCAGAGAGGCTGCTTGTTATACTCTGGAAATGCCACACGTCCTGTTGACTCTTCAGGGGGCAAAAGAAAGAGAATTTGGAAGCAAGAATTGGTTGGAGAGAAAACTGGGGAAAGCAAGCATTTCCAACAGATTAGTGGGAAATTCTTTCTGAAGAAACCAGTGTTGGCTCCTTAAGATAGTGAAAGAGGCCCATCCCGCTAAGCTGGGGACTTTTTTTTTGAACACTTGCCTCATTTTCCCTGTGACTAACAGATTTTCTGAATGATTTCCATTCTTCTGAGGTCAGTTTTCTAAGTGTGGTGACCACTCACAAATGCTACTTTCACTGTAGCATTCTGGGCCTAGCTGGGGCACACCAGAGTGCAGAGAAAATTTGTATATGCAAACTCCACGTTTGTAAACCATCAAGTTGAACAAGGTAGTATGTAGTGGCTATCACCACATTGGCAAACATGTCCTTCTGTAGGCACCACTTTTATCAATAAATGCCCTTTCCCCGTGCTGGGGGTGGAGGGAGAGGGTGAAGGACAATCTTAGCACGGTCGCTTAGAGAGAAGGGCAGAGTCAGGATTCACATCCAACAACATTGGACAGTGAGGTCCTGCAGCAGCTTTAGACAGTACCTTTCCTTTCTCAGAGTCCCTCTGACATGCGCCCTGTAGATCTGAGCTGTCCGTCACTTCCCACCACACACCCAGGGGGCCACAATCCAGGGAACAACCAACCCCACGAAAAGTTCCCTTGCAGCCAAGGTGACAGAATTGGGATGAGGGGGGAAGGGAAGGGAACTGGCTCTCCAGATGTTCCTCATCACCCCTGTTGAATTGTTGCACAGGTACTTCCTACCGGCAAGAACTAAACAGAAGTGTCTCCCCCATTATCTTCCACCACCACTACCAGGGGAAAAAAAGATAGAGATAGATCCACCAGCCTTTAGATTCCTTAAGTCATTCTCCCTAAAAGATACTTGCCTTGACACAGATAAGCTAACTAATCTTTTGCCTTATTACCGACTCTGAGCTGTTCCTGACTCAGCTTCTGACTTTGTCAGTGACAACACTTCTCACCTTTTAAATGCAGTGCTTAACATTTTGCTAGGCCCATATTCAGTGGCCCAGATATAAAGTGACCTCAGATTTCTTTTGCAAAGAAAAACAGCACAAAATTTTGCTTAGTTGAAACACTGTGTTATGAACAAATCTCACACCAACATAAAGTTTTTCCAAGTAGTCTCTGTATCACTGTTCTTACTCTCCTCCTCTGCTTTTTCCCCTCTGCCAAATGTGAGGTTTAGCATGTTTTAAAGGAAAAAGCCCAACACAGGCAGTAAGATCGTAATGGAAATATTAAATAGTTAGTGTCCTAACTTTAAAGTGTACCCCACAGATAACAGATCCATTGGTCTCTAGTGGAGATCTAGAAACTCCAGACCACTCAAGATTTGAACCTTCAGAGACAGCCAAGCTCTTTCACAAAGACTTGGAATTGAGATTTAAGAGCTCAAGACAAGAAAGTGGAGTGAATGGGGTGCCTGGGTGGCTTAGTGGGTTAAAACCTCTGCCATTGGCTCAGGTCGTGATCCCAGGTCCTGGGATCGAGTCCTGCATTGGGCTCTCTGCTCAGCAGGGAAGGCTGCTTCCCTTCCTCTCTCTCTGCCTGCCTCTCTGCCTACTTGTGATCTCTGTCTGTCAAATAAGTAAATAAATATCTTAAAAAATAAAAAGAAAGTGGAGCGAAGTAAATTTTGTCCTAGAAAATACCATCAGGCTTTGCAGAGGAAGATAAGAGATACACAATGATGTCTCTTCTCTTTTAAAGAATTGGGAGCTATTTTTATGCTCAGAGAGTATAGATCAGAGAACCTCTCTCCATAGGCAGAGTTCAGAAAAACAATGGATTTGGGACTTAAGTGCCTGTAAAGAAGACAATTTTGGCCTGAAACCAAAGGCTAGACCTGGGCCACCCTAGGAAAAGGATTCTGTTCTCTAAAGCTGAAGGACTGAACAGTTCTGCGAATGATCAGCGAAGCCAGGGCTGGACACTGCTGTCTCTAAGGACGGTGGACTCAGAAGAGCTCAAGAGAAGTGTAGGCTTTAGACTTTTGTGAGCTCAGAACACAAGACTGTAGCTCCATGCACCCAAGCTGTAGATAGTGTGAACCCCACCATGCCGTCAACATGATAACCAGGTCTTTGCACTTTGAAAAAGCTGAATGCAAGTTTCCTCTGAATATTCCAAGACTGGGCTATCGTATACATTGATGCTGATTGAGCTGACATTTGAAAATGGAATGTTAATGTTTTGATTAAAAAATGTAAGGACGTAGTATCTACCTCCCGAGGATGTTATGAGCTCTTATGTAGTTTTGTCTAGGGGATGGTGTTACTGGGCGGGGGCTGCTTGGGATGGTTACAGGTTTTCTACTGTATGCACTGTATGTGAATTTAAAGAGATGGAGACATTCAAAGGCCATACTAGGACCATGATTCAGTAATTCAGTAGCCAGTGGAGGCCTTTAATCTCTAACACAGAGTTTCCTTCATGTTATTTTAATGTGTAAGAGTAAAGAATATGCTGACAATTAGAACCAATATAAGTGAACTTCATGCTAAAGATACTTCATGACATTGTAGCCAGGGAAGTAGAATGGCTTTGCTCCCTCCCTGTCTCATGAGCTCTCGACTATCGACTCCCCGAGTAACTTAGAGTTTCCTCAAATGGTCCTCACTGTCCATCTCCCTGTTGACCCTACTCTAGAAAGCCTGGAGAGCATCCCAAAATGTCACCCACCTCCTCTCAAGCCTGTGGGACCTAGCTTCTGAAGTGACTTTGCTTCTTCCTCTCCTAAAAAGACTGAGAACAGACATTTTAACACTTTAGGAAAATGGGGCAGCATTAAAAATGATCCCATTGCCAGTGACTCATTTATACAAGGACTTTTCCAGGTTAGCGAACAAAAACCCTTTTTGGTGGGCCTGCTTCTGTGGGTTCACAGAAACCAAATTACTGTGGGTTGCAAAGAATTAGCAGGTCATTTGAAAAGCAGACATCTCTTCACCCAGACTGTGGTTTTGCATGTTCAGGTTCTCAGTCTATGAGCTTTGGTGAGGGATCATTTTGGCTACTGGAAAAACCATAGGTTATTTTTAATTTCTGGTTGCCAAAGCCACCACACTTGTGGTCTGTGGATGACCCTTGTCTACAGAATGACGGGGGAAGAAGGGAACCTGGTTTGGGGGTTCAAAGGGGCTCAGGGTGGCCTTCCCCCAGGGAGGAAGGGAGGGAGGCCTTGCCGAGTGGTTTTGACACGGCCTGTGCTCATAACATTCTCATCTGGGTTTCTCAGAAATGCCCTCCCTGCCCAGCAGTGACCTTCCCTCTTAACTCCTCTTGAGTTTTACCCAGAGTCCAACCATTGGGAGCACTATAAGGTGTCTTACTCCTCTGTAAAGACTGTTTAAAGAAAGTCAGCTTCTGAAATGTAGCAATGCTAACCTTGCCAGAACCATAA